GTTAAAACTTGACAATATTTTTATTTAGATGAAACTATGGAAACCAACAATAAATGTTTTTATATACGTATTGCAGGCAAATAATTAATATTCCTCAAAAAATCGTACATGGCAAGAATCGAGTATTTTTGTTAAAAGTCTCGATTAGAGGTGTTGAAGAAGATATGAAAAAAGTACATTTTTATGTTTTTCATCGTATAAAATTTTGTCCGATAATAATACATAGGCGTAGAACTTGATTTTTTAAATAATTGCACCTTTAAAAATTCTACGCCAATGGCAGAAAAGGGGTTTGAGTATGAAATTTGGATTGGGTACTCATTTACTACAAAAAAGTACCCTTGATAACACTCGATTTATTCTCATGGTTTTGACAAAGTTTGTATTTTAATAATTATTGTTTATGTTCTAAAATTACTAAAATGCAAATTTCGTCAAAACCATGAGAGTAATCGAGTCTTATCAAGAGTACTTTTTTAAAGTAAATGAGTTGCGGAATCTAAATTTCATACTCAAACTCGTTTTCTTCCATTGGCGTAGAATTTTTAAAGGTGCAATTATTTAAAAAATCAAGTTCTACGCCTATGTATTATTATCGGACAAAATTTTAATACCATTTTTTTGCTACATAAAACTCTACCAATATACCAAATTTCAGCAAAATCGCGTATGCCGTTTAAAATTTATATGGGAAAAACGATTTAAAAATTGTAACTTCAAGGCCCTCTGGAGCCCAAACGAATCAACTCTGTACTAAGGTAATTTTACTTAAATCGACTTATTTTGATCTAAGGAATATGTGGTATGTTTTTGTAAAGACCTTTTACACATATGTGGAACTACAGACTCCTTATTTTTTATACAATAATGGCTTCTAAATTAACAATTTTTATACATAATTAATATTCTTGATTATTTTAATTAGTCATTTAAATGATATCATTACAAATCATTTAAGATAAGAATCAATAGTAACTTATTAAAAATAGATATAAACCTTGAATAATTATGTATTTTTATAGGTTAGATTCTAAATGTATTATTTAGTATAGAGCAGTATTTCCCAAAGTGGTCCAGGTGGACCCCAGGGGTCCACGAGAGGCATATTTCCATTCCATATACCGTGAACGCAATCGATTGCGATGACAGGCTAGGAAATGGTGATGCATCTAAAACCATCCATTCCCTACACCTTAAACGCAATGCTATTAGGACGAAACATCGCCATCTCGTAGGGTGGCGGCTTCGCCGCCACCAGAAAATATCAACCCATACCTGGCTACGCCGACCAGCATAGACTCCAACGGCATGCACACAGCTCAAATTAAAATGAAAAGTTTCACATAACAGAAATCAAATAACAAAATGTCTGTGATTACTACAAATATTATCACTTCGGGCGTCAAGTTAACCTGCCGCCATTAACGCTAATCAATCACGGTATAGAGAATAAAACGTTTTAGATGCATTTCCATTTACTAGGCTGCTATCGCAACCGGTTGCGTTTACCATATAGGGTTTGAAAATAAGCCCACGGGAGACTCGACGGGGGTCTACATTGGACGTAATAAAAAATGGGGGTCCACAAGCGTAAGCGGGGGCACATGAACATTTATTTAGTTTAGATAGTAAAGCAATATACTATTAAACAATTGATTACTCATTTTTCCATGTGATGAAGAAATTCTTGTAAAAAACTTCAACTGTTTATAATATAAACAGTCAACATTTTAGTTACTAAAATGTTGACTTGACTTCTCTTATCAATATAGGCAGATAATATTTTAAGAAGCTCAGCGACTGTTACTTGTAAAAACTTGCATATTCCATATTCAGTACAACGCGCCGAGACTTGTCGTTGGCGCACCGGCCGTCGTCCCGTCCGCAACGCTTGTTCAGACGTGCAAATTAATACGACTTGTGGTGTATGTACTTGCAATCTTGCATGAACGTGTTTGATTCTTCACCAATATAAATACGAATGTCAAGGATAATCGTTACTCATTTGTTTCTGGAATTTCATAAAAAACATTAAAGAATGTAAAATTATAGTCCAAATAAGTTTTTGGACAGTAGAAAATATTACTTATCCATGCCGTTACGCCACTGGTAAAATTTATTTAACTAGTTATTTTGTTTATAGGTTTATCTTATGACAACAAAAGTATTTACCGAATTTAGTGAAATTTTACTGAGAAATAAAAATAATACAGCCGTTATTAATTTTTAAATTCTCAATATTGAACACCCTGTATTTCGGAAACCAGTAATATTTTATCTAAGCATGTTTCGTTTAATTTTTCAACCCGAGAATCTTCTGTTATTTCGTGTCCCATTCTTAATGAGACACCTTGTATAAATTGGACCCAATTGGCTTAAGTTTGACCTCTACAGCACTTAGTAACAATTTTGGGACACCCTGCATATTTTATGCATTCATATATGTCCTTTGTCCAGCTTAGTCCGGGGCTATACATAGCGTTTTACCGGGAGCGTTTTAGCGAGACCCGTTTGGTGAGACAGGTAGGTACAACACATTGTTTTAAATGCTGCAGAAACGGCGCCATTAAAAAGAATGAGTTGTACCCACATCCCCAACTAGCCATTCATAAAAGTGTATTTGTTGTGAAGTTCTCATCATCATCTATTGTATAGTCCAGGAGACAGTGACGATTTTCAGTATTTATTTTCCCAGTCAACAAGCACGAATAGAGAATTGTAGGATTAGCAATTATAAGCAAAATTCATATATATTTAGAGGGGGATCCGATGGGCTGAGGCCGAAAATGCGTCAAAACATACGAGAACACGGCCCTTTTTTTCCATTGATAAAAATAGTTTTAGTAGTAAGAGATGTACTGAAGTTAAGTAAAAAAATAGTCTGATTAATCTGTATGGATAATATATTTGGCAAGTGCATAAAATACACTTTCAAACGAGTTATGTACACAATTATTTCTACGACCACAATTATTTAAAGAATGTTCCAGGTGTTTTGTATATTAAAGTGTACGCATAGGACACATAAATAAAATCTTATATCACAATGTTTCACCTAACCAGTTGGTTTATTTATAGAAATTAAACATAATAATTGAAGATATTACAGAAGAAAATAGGGAAATAAATTACATTTCCTTTTACACTTTTATATAATAATTGTTTTATTTAGAATTCACGAATCACTTATTACTCTACATTAATTATAATTATTGTTAGTTTCGTTATGTCAAATCATTTATACTAGAGGTGTGAGGAAAATACAGTGAACTGTGGAACGCCAATATCGTTGGATGCGCGTGGTAGAAATGGTCCTATAATACAGCTAAAAACATAGCTAAATTTTCATGGAAACACTGTACTTTTGACATTTGCGATACTCCGACGCATATGCATTAGTGATGTAATCTCATGATTTTACAGTAATAGTTTTTGCAATTTTAGTGTGATTTTTAGGTTATTATGGTTATTCATTTTATTTGGTTCTGATCTTTTGCGCTTTAAGAGTATTTGTCTTTTATATAATTTTTAATTTGAATTTTAATATTGTGGTCTATTTATATTTGATTGCTGCTTTTCGACTAGTGCTTTATTCTTTTTGTGTTAAAATAAGCTTTATAACCATTAAGTACATGCTTCTAGTTGATATCTACCTAATCGTCATCGGGTGCTTGCAACAATGGGAAAAAGTGTATGTTTTTTTTGTTGTAAAGTTAGACGCCTTCATTTTTCAGGT